TTTTTCACTAAGTCACATGTATTAGGCATTGTTAACACACATAGTCATTGGTTTAATAATATAGGCCAGTTGTGGTGGTTCATACCTGTAATCCTATCCGTTGGGAGGCTGAGGCAGGCAGATCTTTGCGAGTTCGAGGCCAGCCTGGGCTACAAAGTGAGTTCAAGACCAGCCTGAACTGCGTAGTGAGACCCTGTCTCCAAAAAAGACAAAATAAAGTAAAATAAAATCTCAGCTCATATAACGCTCCAGCTGTAAAAGGGAGAGATAGATAGACAGACAGAGTTTTTACTCTTCAATCTTTTTTTCAATGTTGGGGATGGAACCCAGGGCCTCCAGCGTGCTAAGCATGTGCCCACAGCTGAGCTACTCCCTGGCTGTGGCAAAGCAATCGAGATAAGCATAGCTCTGAGAGGAAGTTACATTTACGGAAGGGTCCATTCCTTCCCTTTTGCAAGAGTGACGATGCTTTGGTGAAGGTTATTTTCCTTGTTTATCAGTCAGGACAGGAGTGCAAAGGGAGGAAGAGAACCTAGGTTTTTTTTTTTTTTTTTTTTAAAAATTTTTTTTTTTTTTTTTTTTTTTTTGACAGGGCGTGTAGCCCAGGCTGGTCTCCCGCGCATAATGGTTTGTGGCTTTCAAAGCCCTGAGTACCCCATGTAGCATTGTAACCAAACATCGCAAACTTGGGCGACAACGGTCTCTGTTAAAGGAACTGTCACTCTACCAGCCCTTCCTCCTTTATATTGGTTTGTTTGCTTCTAAACATCCTGTAAGCCCTGACATTTACAAATACAGTTGTTTTTGAAGGCAGACGGTTTTTATTTTCATTTCACTAATTTAGGAGTGAAAGAACAAGCTTGCTAAGATTTCCAAAAGTGGTTTATCTTTGGATAGATACCAAATACATGAACTATCAGAGCAAAACCAAAATTGCTGTAAAAATGTGAAGAAATACACATACACTGAGGATGAAAATGAATGTTGTAACCTTCAGGAAAATCAAGTTGTCGCTTTCTGAGGAGTCACAGAGCTGAGCTCTTTCCTGATCCCATTCAGGGCTGGGCACCGGGCTCCTGCACCCAGCCAGGCTGGTGTGTAGCATTTTCACAGGAGGATTTTCTTATATCAGAAATGATCAGGGCCGGGCATGGTGGTGCAGCCTGCAGTCCTAACCATCCGGGGGATGAGGGTGATGATCTTGTTTTTAGCCCAGCTTGGACAACAGAGCAGGATTCTTACCCTTTCCCATCTCAAAAAAGAAAGGAGAGAGAGAGGAAGAGAGATTGAGAGATCCCAGCATTCAGGAGGATTGCTTTGAGTTTGAGGCCAGCCTGGGCTTACATAGTGAGTTCAAGGCCAGCCTGAACCATGCTGGGAGAACCTGTCTCAAAAAAAAAAAAAAAAAAAGCCAGGCATGGTGGCGCATGCCTGTAATCCCAGCACTTGGGAGGCTGAGGCAGGAGGATTGTTGCAAGTTCGAGACCAGCCTGGGCTACACAGTGAGCTCAAGGCCAGCCTGAACTGCATAACGAGACCCTGTCTCAAAGAGACAATAAAAAAGGAAGAATCAGCTGCACGCTCACCTGTTCCCTGACATCCACCCTACCCAGCCTTCCTTCCACTTTTCCTTCTCCCAGTCCCCAGCCACTTTATAAACATATGGCAAAATAAATTAAAATGAAATAAAATGGTTTTTCTGCCTGATAAAATGCATAGGAATAGACCTAGATGCACTGGTCTTCTACAGCCAAGTAAAACAAGTTCAATTTCCATTTATAGGGGGAAATTCATTCTGATGTTTCTTTATTGTGTTTTGAAACAGGGTCTTAGTAATCAGTGCAGGCTGGCCCTGAACTCATAGTGATCTTCCTGCCTCCGCCTCCTGAGTGCTAGGATTAGAGGTGTGTACTACCAGCAGACCCGGATAAGTTTTGTATGTTTATAAAAGATCTGCAAGAATATATAAAAACCGTTAATGGTTGCATGTTCTGAATAGGACTGGAAGTATAGAAAAATATTTTCATTCCAGTTTAAATTTTTCTGCGTTCTGAAATTTGTACCATATGTGCCTTTCTGAAACTTAGTTTATTTTTAATTATGCACATAACTCATGGCTACACAGTAAGCAGCGTGGTGTGCGTACTCCAGATTTTTCCTATACTCTAATAGCATATATTCACATATCGGGTTTTTTTTTTCCTTTTTTGAATGAAGCTCTTTGGTAAGTGGTCCGGGTTGGCCCGGAATTCTCCATCCTCCTACCTCATCCTCCCAAGTGCTAGGGTAACGGATATGCACCGCCACACCCGCTTCATATTAATGGTTTTGTTTTCTTCTATATCTACTTTTCTTCATGAATTAAACATCATAACTATTTTAGGTGATATCATGAAGTTCTTTTTCTAACATATATAAATCATATTTAAGCAGCTTAAGAGTATTCGTGTGTGTATAAGCCTGCATGCGTGTGTGTGTGTGTGTGTGTGTGTGTGTGTGTGTGTGTGTGTGTGCATGTGCGCACGCGTGCAGGGGCCGGGGAAGGCGACTGAGAGGCGGGGCTGACGGCTGACTCGCGGTTAGGAGGCGGGGCCTGGCTTCTGGGGCGGGGCCTGGCTTCTGGGGGCGGGGCCTGGCTTCTGGGGCGGGGCCTGGAAGGGTTCATTTACCTCTGGGCTCCTTCCGCTCTCTGCTTCCCACCCGCCCACCTGTGCGCAGGTTCCCTGGACCCTGCTGTCCCCACGCTTGAGCCTGCTGGAGCAGGAGGCTCCAACATGGAGGAAAACTTCTGAAACGGTAGCCAAAATAAACCTCTCCACCTATAAGTTGTATTTTGTCCCAGCAACAAGAAAAGTGAAAGAGACAGTGGTCCTGGGGTGGAACTAGAGCTTGTGCCCGGCGGGGCTGCCCCTGAGCTGCCAGTCCCCGCTCTGCTTAGGAAAGTCCAAGTAGGGCAGAACTGGTCGCTGTCAGTCACTTAGCATTTCACGTAATGCCCCCGTGAACTCGCTGCTTTCTTCTGTGCGTCCTGGTGCGTATTGTTTTTTGGAGCAGGTTCGGTATTTTACATTTAAAGTATTTTTTTAAAATTCTCTGCACCAGGCATGGTGGCACACGCCTATAATCTCAGTGCTCGGGAGGCTGAGGCAGAAAGATTGCTGCAAGTTCGAGGCCAGCCTGGGCTACATAGCAAGACTCTGTCTCAAAAACACCAACAAAATAAAAGGAAAAAAACAAAAAATATCATGCTTTGGAAAGTTATTGGGGAAACTGAAAAAAAAGTTCTTTGGAGTGCAAGAGATATAGCTCAGCAGCAGAAGTGCTTGCCTGGTAAGTGCAAGGTCCTGAGTTTGATTGCTGACACCAAAAAAAAAAAAAGTTCTTTGGAAAATAATGTAAATATGATATATATTTAAAAATTAACTTTTCTAAGTTATGGAAAGTATCCAAAACAAATAAAACCTGTGTGTGTGTGTGTGTGTGTGTGTGTGTGTGTGTGTGTGACTTAAATGCATGTGTCATAAATCCACATACTCGGTACCTGAGCCTTTTTTTGGTCTTTTTGAAACAGGATCTTGCTTTACAGACCAGGCTGGGCTTGAGCTCACTTTGTAGCCCAGGCTGGTCTCAAACTTGCAATGATCCTCCTCAGCATCCCAAGTGCTGGGATTACAGGTGGGCACCGCATCTGGCACCGGGTCCATTTTTAAATTACACGTTGAATCAAATTTGGGACTGATACCCCTAAGCAGAGAACAATGACCTTGCCCATATTCATATGAGGAGAAAATTACAAATGTGGGGGAAGGTGTTAGAAACACACTCAAAGCCAGACATGGTGGCACACGCCTATAGCCCCAGCACTTGGGAGGCTGGGGCAGGAGAATCACCGCAAGCTCAAAGCCTACTTGGGCTGTATGGTGAGACCCTGTCTCACCAACCCCCCTAAAAAAGGTGAAGTGTGGAGGACTTTGCCTGGATGACTCTCCTTGAAAGATTCCCCTTAAAAGAAGAGCAGTTGTGTCTATTTTGGTTAAACCTGGCCCTCTGTCTGTGTACGGATGTGTACAGAGGCGGCTAGGACACTTCCTTATCCCCTCTCTTGGCTTTAAGCAATGCAAATGGGTCTAGCGAGGTGCTGATGGAGAGGCCAGCGCTGCCCCGCCTACAGCCCCCACATAACGGCGGGGCCAGGCTGAGACCGAGCCTCAAGATGAGAGGCTGTGACTTCCCGGGGCATAAAAATTACACACCTGAAGCACTGACCCCAGAACATTAGATCCTACCCCAGTTGTGTCACGCAGGTTACTCCTTCCGTGTGTCCTTCTCTCTGCATACTGCAGGGGTGATTTCAGGCCTCCTACCTACCTGGCCCGGCTCCTGGCACGGGTGCTTCCTGCCCCTCCCACAGTCACTCATCCCCAGGCCACTCCCCTCTCCGCGAATTAACAAAACCTGGCTCAGCCCCGGGGAGGAGCCTCTGTTCCGCTTAGCCCCCGCCCTAGCTGGACTTAGGATCTCTTGGCTGCCCCCAACTACAAAGATGCCTCCGTGTCTTTATTCTCGCCGTGGGCTGCGCTGGACGTGGTAGATTGGAGCTAACGTATTAGAATTCCAGTAACTTTCCCATGGGATTACATATGTGGATTTCCCTGGACTTCAAAGAGATCCAGAAGGGCTTTCTGTAGTGAAGAACAGAGGGCGTCTACTGAGGTCAGGGTTTACTAGGGAATGTATTTAATACAGGACACTTAATTTATAGGATTATTTTATAATAGTCACCCAGAGTCAAATGCAGAAGAGTGCAGGAGATCTGTCCACACGCTAGAGACCCAGAGACTCCGGCTGAGGGCCTGGAGCCCAGGCAATGTCCTGCAGGATCCAGCTGGAGGCCCAGAGCCCACAGCAATGTCTCATGCGGGCCTGTTCCACGGATCTGTGCTGGGAAGGCCCAGAGGTCGGTGGTAGAAGGTAGAAAGTCGGTGCCAGCGGGATGAGGGATCCGGGGCAGCGGGCTGCGGGACCTGCACTGCAGCCAGGAAGCGACACTCCAGGGGAGGACCGGAGCTGCCCCGGAGAGAACCGCAGCCGTCCTAGGCGACAGCGAGGACCCGAGCTCCTCCGACATGGGAACAGCTGAGTTCATGTCAGGACAGCCAGCGTGACACGCTTCTCCAGGAGAACCAACAGCACCATCTTCCCCTCCAGCTCTGCTTTTATGCCGTCGGCAACAATCCTCAGGCGGGCCGTCCACACCCAGCAGCACGCCGGCTCGGCTCAGCCGGGTGTGACGAGCTGATCATTAGTTACTCCACCGCGAGCCTGCGAGCTCACGCTCTAGAGCAGCAAGTCCGGCCTGAGCTGCGAGTGCTGAGCTCCAAGCGCACATCCCATCTCGGGGGCCGAGGGCGGGCAGTGGGCGCCAGGCACTGTGACAGCGGCCAGGTCCATCCCGGTCCTCCAGCAGGGCAGGTCTTGCAGTCGGCGGTGGTCTACTGTCCAAGGGTGAGCGGGCTGCGGGTCTCAGAACCGCACGCAGAGAGCGTAGGGGGACCGACACTGCCCGCACCACTGCCCCGGGCAGCCCGAGCCTCCAAAAAGGGCGGGACAGACTCGGCCCACAGGTAAGGGGCTGGAAAAGAGTCCTTCGCGACGTGCGCAGGACATTTTCAGCTCAGATCACAGGACACACATAGCTCTCTCCTCCCAT